GGCTGGCTGGCGGCCGCGAGGAAGCGGCGGCCCGGATCACTTCTGCATGACAATTGATGGGAGGGAGGGCGTGAGGCGAGGAGGGAGGACGGCTGCAGTGTCCGTTTTCTCACCATGGTGATTAGGCATTCCGGCCGTGCGAGGAGGCAGCCGCCGAACAGAGCGGCGCGGCGTGGAGCAAGTAGAGGGAAAGGGAGCGAGAGCAAGAGCGAGTCCCGCCACTGGGCGGGTGAGCCGCACGCCGAGCCAAGCCAAGCCAAGCCAGATGGCTCTGCAGCCATCAGGGACTGCTCCCGTCCAGCCAGTCCCCACTTTAGCTGTGCAAACATTTCTTTATCCCAACAAGACAATTAAACCCAGCAGCATGAAAAGGAGTCTCCATGACTGCGTTGGGCGTGAACAACCAGAAACAACCACACACATCACAGGAGTTTTGCCCCCGGGAGCCGGGCAGGAGAAAAGGGTCACCGGGAGAACCTGGGGAGCAGCTGAGCATGATCGGGCTAGGTCTGGGCAGTCAGTCAGTAGAGAGAACCATCTAACCCATCTTGTCTGGTGATTTGCTGACCCTTTCACAGCAGTCATCTGCTCCGGCTAGAATACAGAGATTGATCCATAAGACATGGAAACTGCCCCCAAACATTCTGACCCGAGCAAGAGCAATTCTGAAAGCCAGACCCTAGGTCTCTAGGAAGTAACCCAGTCCCAGAACCCGTGGAAAGTACCCACCACAACCACCTCCAAGCTGCCAGTCGCCCTTCAGAATTTCAGTCTGCCTTGGACCTATGTGGACACAGCTTAGGACATAGGAGGGTCTGCAATGATACATATCTTAATAAAGACACGTCTCAGAGTGCAAAACACCATCTCCCAGTCAGGGCACTTGGGACCTTGGAATGACTTTTCAAATACATCAAAGATGAAAGCAAGGCGGAACATCCAGGAGCTGTGTACCTGCCTGTGAATCTGCCTGATCACCAAGCAAAACCACTAGGGTCAGTGCCTGGAGACCAACTCTGAGATAAGCCAGAAACAGGACCAGTCATTACTCCACCCAGGTAGGTCTGTCCCTCCCAGCCTCTGGGCAAGCATGCATACCAGCCAATTCCAATTTGGGATCAGTGGGTAGATTGGCAGGCAGACTGTGCCACCCACGCAGGAATCTGGGCACTTGAGTGGCCTAAAGAAAATTATCAGGAAATGCACACAATAGGCCCAGCGAGCTAAGGGGGTAATAAATAGATAGATTCTAGGAAACAGCAGTAGACAATACTTATCTTCCCTTTTGTTGTAAAGTTTCATTAATGAGGAAATGTTTATTTTAAAAGCCCTGGGAAACATATCCATAGACACTTCGCATGTAAGACACACGTGGACTGTTTGTAATTGGTCCATAAATTTCACCATCGTTTCCCTGGACAAGAAGCCTTGGAGAATAGTTCAGGGAGTGGCAATAAACAGGAGTTACCTCAGTCCCCTTCCTGGGGGAATTATGCATCTTCCATGAAAGACTTCTCACAAAATACTCCTCCCATTTTCCTGGACAAATAAGTCAGTTCTGTGAAGTAAGGGATTCTTTTTCCCATAGAGTCCAACACCCACCTCAAGAATCACCTGTGGTGCCAGGTTGGTGAACAGGTAAACAAACCAGAATCATCTAGTAGGAGAAACAATATTAACCTAAACATTCTGCTTTCTACAAATAAATAAATATGCATATTTTATCACAGAAGAAATCTATAATCCTTCTGATCAGAACCCAGATTTAAGAACAGAACACTCGTGTATATTACACCATGTCTGCAGGCTTCTTTCTAGAATGCTCTCACATGTGGCTATATCTGCATATGGATGCAGTGTGTGAGCAGGGGGTGGCTGGACAGTAAAAACTGTGTCAATGTTTCCATTGTAAAATAGATTTTTCAATGACCTAAAACTCAGTCATAAAACTTCTACTCTAAGTGGGGGACACAGACATACACACATATACCAAAAGTTAAACTTATGTGTAAGTTTGACAGTTGTATTTAATAGGAACTTTGGTTTTATACATTTTATGAAAAAAAATGTATGTATATACACATATATATATGTGTGTATGTGTGTGTGTGTGTGTATATATATATAGAGAGAGAGAGAATGAGAACTGAAAAACTCAGGTCAACCATATCAGAAATTAACTCTCAATTTAAAAAATAAAAAACTAAAATAAACATGGTTAATTTTTACCAAATAAGGGCAAAAGCAAAGTGTCCTATTACTTAGCTTTTTTAAAGACTTTCTATCCTCTCTCACCTCCCTCTGCTCACCTCCCAATCCCCCTTACTGCCCCATCTGCCCCTCAAGCTCTCCCTTTGGAAGCAGTTTTGTATACTGTCACTCGATTATCTGAGAAATATTACTTATTTCAAAACGGTTCTGCAGGGAGGACCTGAGAAGCATCTAGTGGGAATAATCAGACCTTCTAACGGCTCTTAAATATGTATTTACATAAAACAGACCATAAATATTCCGACACACATCGGCATATGACATGTCGGCGTATGACAGGAGCCAAGAAAGCTTTGTCACACTGCCTCTTGCGCTCTTCCCTACAGAAAAATGTTTCTCCTGCTTTCCAAAAACTCCAAATCAAACCCACAAATGCTAACCCATGCAACCCATGAAGGCTGCTACACTATCTAAGGAAAGGAAAGAAAAAAGGAACACCAGTCCAGTGTGACCACGGGTAACAGTCCCCTCTTCACTTTCCACCTTTGTTTCTTATTCAAGATTAGTCACAAATGCAACTCTAGGTGACAACATGGGTGTGTAGACATCATATGTTCACAGACACTTCTGTAGGTTTCATGTTTGTGTAAGAGAAAAAAAGAGAACACAAACTACTCCATCAAGGAAGACTACACTACACAAATAAAGGAGGAAACGGTTCCAATTTCTCCAACACTACAATTTGAAATAAAGAAGTTTCCCCCACCCTTCTGATCAGGATCTCATTAATTTCAAGGTCAGAATTCCATTTCACTTTGGGAGACAGACTCATTTAATTTTTCTCCACCCAGGCGTATTCCTGTGTGAGGGATTCATCTCCATGGGGGAAGGCACCACCACACAATGTAAACCAGGCAAACAGAAGAGTTATGGCTTTGACACTCAGAGGGAATGGATATCCACATCTATGAGTTCTGACTTGACTAACAAGCTTCCTCCTGTTCTGGGGGTCTGGTCCAGGTGAAAAGATAGAAAATGGAGACGAGCTGGATTGGTTATGTGAGAAGAAAGGAATCTTGATCTCCAGATGGTACTTTGTGGCTTAGGAGTTTAGAGAGAATTCCGTTTTCAGTTTGTATTTGGAGGGGGGGGGAAAGGGGGAGGGGGCAGCATTGGTCACACCCTAACCCAGGGCAGTTTTAACCAAAGATCAGATTACCACTAACCTTGATTGCCTTGCATCACTGGACAAATGAAAACTAAAATCGAATAAAAACAGACCAACACATGGCCAATACATGTTCAGTGGGATCTCCAAAAGGCAGGATCACCACACAGACAAGTCAGCTGTACAGAAAGTGAAAGGCGAAAGAGAAGCTAAACCCACAAACAGCAGCAGTTGTGCTGTCAGATAGCGACCTTCTCCCTTAAGTGGGGAGGTCTTGGGCTTGCAGACGCTGACATAAAAGACACACTTGCAACATATTTCAAAACCAAAGAGCGATGGATTTACAAGGCAGGTTGATTTTATGATGACTTTTATTGAAAAGGTACGCTGGGTTTAGGCAGATGCCTTTTAGCGCAGGAAAGTTAACACAGTGCCTAATTCAAGGAGACAGCCTGAGGAAGCAGTGCCGACAGGGGAGAGAGCTGCAATGTCTCTATTACTCTCCTCGGCATCATAAAGAGAAGAGAAAAAAAATGGCCTTCATGTTGGTGGTTATAGAGAGGACGGGAGCACAAAAAAATAAAGAAGAGGGGAAAGCAAACCTCAGATGTAGTTTTCTTAAGAAAATAAAATGACGCAAGTCTTAGAACAAAAGATTGGTGGAAAAAAAAACTCTCAGTTCATAAATTCTCACCAGGCTTGAAGAAAACCGCTCTGTCTACCCACAGCCCAAAAGCTTCAAAAATACAATTATTTTCTGATTACACAAGAAGAGAAGATTGCAGGGTTCATCACTCCTAGTCTGCAAGTCCCATATGAAGGCTTACGTGCAACTACTAATGGGGTACTAGTGCCCACCAGGGCTCTTAGAGAACATGAGAAAAGCTGTTCCATAAGCAGAAATTAATAATAGTTGTGAACTTCAAATGTGGAGCAGTCACAGATCAACCATGGCCAGTCCTAAAAATGAGCCCCAGGATAAGCATCAAGCAAACCTGTTAAATCCCAAGAGAAGTCGGCTTTCTAGCCTTGCGATTGCAAGGAAAACACAGCTGTTTGAAATGTTTTATGGTGATTGACGACACCTTTGTCCTTCTCTGAAAAACAGCCTGATGTGGACAAGGGCTGAGAGTTGTGAAAATAAAATGAAGTGGAGTCGGCCTGATATGAAACAAAGGAAAAGTTAAATAAATAAATAAATACTACCATGTTCCGAGAAACATAATGAGGATATCAAACAGAGAAGAGATGAACAAATCACTTCAGTCTCCACCCCCACCCTCATTCTCTAGGAACCCACACTCTCCTATGAAATCAGCCTCAAGTACATACATGGCACCCCTCTTCACACCAGAGGCACCAGAGAATAAGTCAACCATGCCCATGAAAAGACAGCACTGAGGCCAACTTGACTCTGGCTACCTTCAAAAAACATTTCCTGCAAGAAATATCAATGTTCGTTGAAGAAAGACAAATGTTAGCACTCCACTGCTGTTGAAAGGAAAGTAAGTAGTTAGCCCTTCCCGTTACTGGGTGCATGAAAAATGCCACCAACCTGTTGAACACTCCTGCAAGGCAGAGCTTACTGAGGGGAGGGGAGGGCGTGCACCAAAGTACTTACATCTGTCATTCCGATCCTCTGGGCTAGATGAGGCTTCCCGATCAGAAATGAGGCCAGAGACAGCAAAAATCTTCTTCCCAGTGTCGTCAACCTTAAGTGAACCAGGGGAGCTAGATGGCAGTTGTGTCCCAAAGTCATATTCCTTGCCATCTGCATCTGAGAAGCGCAAGTGGGGAGACTCTGTGTCATGGCAGTTCTTAAGTCTTTTGGCCGGCGTGAAGGCAGACTGATAGCTCTCCCGATCCTCAGTGGAAGCAAAGGGACGGAAAGCCCCCACACCACTATGATTCAGCATACTAATTGGGGTGCAATCTAGGTTTGGGGGAGCAAACTGAGGGTGAAGGTGTAGTAAAGAAGGAGGGAAATCACGGTTGGCAAAAGTGCCTGGCACCCCACCTTGCCGGTGGTACATAGAGGCAAAGGTGTAAGAGCCGTTGGTAAATGGAATATGCACATCCTTGTCTACTGAGACAGGTACACCAAAGGGTCGTGGCTGCTGACAAGGAATGGAAGCATCACGGCTGGCTTCAGCCGTGGACGCCAGTACCATCAATGCTGGGGATGCCAGAGGGTTGGGGAGGTAGGATGAATTCTCCATCTTGAAGGCTGCCCGGTGTAAGTCCATTGGAGTCTCTGTCTAGGGCCGGCGTCAGACAAGAAACAGTCTTCCCTGGGAGGGAGGTCGAGCAGCACCTTGGATCAGGGTAGGAAATATTACTGGGGAATCATCCCCTTCTAAGACCTGTGGAAACAGCAAAAAGAAAAAAAAAAGGGGGGGGAGGACAGTCAGAGGCAGAAAAATAAGGGAAGCCCCAAGTGATAGAAATACCATCCTTCTGGCTTACAGATGCTTGGCCAAGAGACACCACAGGCTTTAGGAGCCAGTGAGCAGCAGTATCAGACCATTTTCATTCAGGAAAATCAATAGACAACTTACTGTGATGTACGCGTAGCTGACTTTGGTCCCTACACGTTCCGGGTGAAATGCGCCTGAGCCCAGCAAAGAAAAAAAAAAAATCATAAAACCTCCAAATACAATATTCCCTGAGCAAATGAGCTTTGGAAGGCCAAATCACCCAGTAGATTAGGTGGGGTCTATATTGCAAAGCCATTTGAACTGCAAGGTTGGCGGTTCAAGCTTATCAGCTGCTCCTCGGAAACCCTATATAGGGTCGCTATGGGTTGAAACCGACTTGACAGCACTTAATAACAACAACATATTTTAAATAGCTTCCACCTCGAAACACCACTCAGGATAGGCCTGAGGTTCAGAGACCAAGGTCTACCTATATGACCCACACACACACATACATTCTCTCTCCAACCTCTCTAAAATGCTCTAATACTGAAAAGTCCCTAAATCAAGCACCTCTAGACTACATATATCTATACATATTATTAGTTGGTGCCAACTGTACATGTGGATAAATCATACATATTGGCACATACATAAACATTTTCATCTATCATCTATGATTGTTTTAAGAAAAAAACTGCTATTTAGTTTTTATGCAAGCTATGTATTCTTTTATGCAAACCACTCTCCAGTCACATAAACTTTCTATTTCTCCTCTCTAAGAAGGAAAAACAACCTTCATCAAAAAATACCTGGCATCTCTGACAACATTTAAAAACATAATGGGTGCCTTTGGCATATGCTTTCCAGGGGCAGCAAAGAACTGATTGGTAATTTTAGTTACTAATCCACCCAATCTTAAATAGATTTATAAACTGCTTTTGAATTTGCCATTAACATTTAGAATAAAATGTTAACAAAATTCTGACTTAATTTGCTTTGCTTATTGGTCCAGAGTTGATGTCCAATAAAGGCCCCTTGTAACAAAATGGAGTTCAGAGAGACCTCTTTCAATTTCCTTTTTAAATGTAGGTTGTACATTTACACAGTCACTGATTCTGTTTCAACATTTATTTTGGGGTAGGGGTTGAGGACTAGGGCTTATTAGCTTTAAAAATACACTTAATAGAAACTGAATGAAACTCATAAAGTGCAACCCCAAATCACCATACACTACAAAGTATAAACTTCATATTGAGTGTCATATCTGAAATACAATTTTGCCCCCACACCCCTAAAAATAACCCACCTATATAATGAAGCACCTTTAGTATTCTCTCAAATAGAGAAACCTCAGTTACATTGTAGATGAATCCTCTTGGCTTTAATGCAGTGGAAAGAGAATATTTCCTTCTCCCATCCTGTAGTAGACATGTCAATGACTGTTATTAAATGGAAAGATGAGTGGACACCATCAGACTGCTTCCTCATTTGGCATCCTTCCTTATAGACATCATTGCTAAATTACCAGATTATGTATCTCACATTAACGGATTTTTCTCTCTTCCAAATTTTAAATAACTTTCCTGTCAAGTTATAGCAGTGCAGAGAATGATCTGCCAAGGACAGCCAGTTAGCCTGACAAGTCTGGGAATGCTGTTCTTGGCTGTTTTCAAGTCAGATTAATGGTCATACAACATGGAAGCTCTGAAAGTGGAGCTAGTGCTGTTCCAAGGTTCTAAACAGCACTTCACAAGAGAAACAACTACTTGTCAATCAATGAGGAATATTCTACTAGAAAAGCTGAAGAAAAGGGCAAACATAACATACATTGAGGTGAGGGGAATAGTGCCCTACCCCCCAAATAACCATCACCCAGAGATTTCTATTTCTGTTTTTACTTCCTAGATCAGCTCATTATGTTAAATGGCTTTCATAAATTAGTAATCTGGGCGACAGCACCAGACACTCCGACAGAACACTGAATCATTCATTTGAAAACTTCATTACAGTGAAAATAAATCAACAATATTTTTTTCCAGGCCACATCTCTTTTACTCCACTGTATGGGCGTTGGTCTTGTGAGAGGGGATGCTTTTTTTTTTTTTTTCCTCTCTCTCTTCCCTTTTCTTCTTACCCCCTCTTCACATTAACAACATGTATAGATGAGGCTTCAGCAGACCACAGTCATTATGAAAATCTATAGTTAATACACTCCCAATGTCAAAATGTCATGGGTTTAAACACAGAACCCAAAATAAAGAAAACTAACTGACCCTCTTAATTAAAAAAATATGGATTGTAAGATAATCAGCTTGATGGAGCATTTGGGTGACTGTAAAGAAGTGGGCAAAGGGAAAGTAAGTAACTGTTACTTTTCTGCCTCTATGCTGATTTTTTTTAATTTAGCACTTCGTGCAAATCCAGATTAAAATAACTCCAGCTATTGATCCTAGCAGTGGAATTGACATTAATTTTAGTTCACTTCTCACTTTGCAAAGGGATCAATAGGAAGTAATAACAGCTGACATCCCCGCTGAAAGGAGGAGAAAGAAGGGCTGAAGACAGAAATCGAAAAGCAACCAAATAAATCATCAGCTACTTTTCCACGGCATCAGACAAACTCCAAACAGATTGCAAAAAGTCTTTGTTGAATTAACTAAACAAGGAGGAGGGATCAATCCACGAAGCTAAATAAATTGTCTGGTAGGCAGTGAGGTTGGACGAAGGGACCAACAAATATTGAGCTTTTAAATTTCAAATCTTTGACGTGATGGGTTTGGTTGAGTTCGGTGCGTTATGTGTGGGAGTTTGTTAAACCTTGGTCTAAAGTGATTACAAAACGCCAGCTAACTGAATAATTAGTGAGACTACTAATTGCGTGGTTAAACATGCCAGAACTAAGACAAATGAAACGAAGAAGCTGGCGTTTGTAACGTGAAAATGTGTGAGATTGAACTGATGCGCAGTGTTCCGCGCTCTCTGTTGCGAGCTAGCCACGTTCAATCAGAAAAACCGAAAGCCAGAGAGAAAGTCTCAGAGTGGGCATTTTCCTACCCCAGGCTCTGCCCAGCCCTGTCCAGGGTCTGAGCTTCCTGACCCGCGCCAGGGATCAACGGAGGAGGAAGCAGCGCTGTAGCAGCTGGGAGCCAAAGCCACTTGCAAATGACTGCCACAAAGAAAGCTCCAAAGCGCTCTTTCCCGGAGAGCGAGCTCAGGGCGCGCACCAAACTACGACTCTACTGGCAATTAAAACGCACACACAACACTCCTCTGCATATTACAACAGGTGACATTTTTGTGGTCTCTGATCAGTTTCCAAAACCCAAGAATTAAAATAATAGGACAGATTAAACGATATTCCCCCTTGCATAAATAAACTTAAAAAAAAAAATTAACAGCCAACTTAAAAAGCGAAGAACAATGGGAAATGGGGCCAGGGTAGTGGGGGGTTGTGAAGAAAGCAGGAAAGATTTTTTTTTTTTTTTTAAAGTTCACAGACTTCTTCGCTAAAAGAGAATTCCCGCACACCAAATGCCCAAGAGGTATTTGGAAACACCGCTCTAGCAGAAATCTTCTCACCATATGCGAGAGCTCAGGGAGCATAAGGCTAATAAATTCCCCGGCTGGGGCCGACGCTTGCGATTCAGACGTGGACGAGTATCGGTCCCACATTTGGACCCGGATTCAGCACGACTTGGCCAAAGGGTACGAATAGAAGACAGCCTAGCCAGGGCGAGAGTGTGAGCTGCGGGAATGCCCGATCAGCGAGCGAGAGCAGAATTCAGCTGGCAGGAGTCTGGACCCAGAGAAACCAACTCTTTGAGAGAAAACGGGGGACGAAGTAGTGAAGGCAAAACCTACATAAACTTGGGGCCAACGCAGAGCCGAGCCTACCGCCCCTTGGCCTGACCTCTCCCGTTAGCTCTCGGTTGCCTTTGCACAAAGAATACTTTCGCTGCCAAAAAACCTCTGCAAGAAACCATTTGCTTGTAACTTTGGAGAACGAAGGCGCCCACCGGGCAAGAGCGGACACGTGCGAGGGACACTCAGTACGTAGCCGGGTAGGGCTAGCGGAGCAGGGATTCGAAGAAGCTTGCTTTCGTCCAAAGTCCCAGAACCTCGGTCACCGAACAGCCCCGCCCCGCAGGTCACCGGGGTCCCGCCGCCGCGCGCCACCGCTTCGGCGGACAGCCACCGGGCTCGTCTACTCCCACCCTCCCAAACGCCGGCTGGCCCCGGTCATCTGGCCCTCCCAGTCCCCGGGCCCCGGGCCTGAGGCTCGGAGGGAGGGCTCTGCAGCCCGCGCGGCAGCCACTGGGCTGCCGCACCCAGATCGGCTCGCAGAACAGGTGTGTGTCCCCTCTCGCTCTGCGCCCGGGCCCGGCCGGTAGGTCGCCCACGATGCGGCACCGCCCTGTGCTCGGCCTTCCCTCACCTTGCCCCGGAGCGCAGCGAGAGAACACACCACTCTTGCCGGGTTTCCCACAGGCCAGGAGGGTTCGAAACCGTAGACGCCCGGGTCGCTTTTACTCGACGCTCTGCGCGTTTCCCCTTGGCGGGAGAGTCCCGGAGACCCGCTGAGGAGCAGGCCAGGCAGGACGCGGACCCTGCCCGCTCTGCTCCCTCCAGTTCGACTCGTCGCTTCCACACCCTCCAGTCTGACTCGTCGCTTCCTCACTGCCCGCCCTTTTTTTCTTTATTTTTCTTTTCTCTCCCCATTACCCCTCCAGTCGAGTTTAGAGCGGAGCCGTGAGACAAGACGTGGCTAGTGAGCATCGCAGGTAGAAAACGCCCGCGCCTTCCCTGTCCACGGATCCCGTGGAATG